TGAGAAGTTGTTGAGTCAATTTAAAGACAAATCTATCGCACCGTAAATTCCTCCAAGATATAAACAAAGATTTTATTGGATTTGAATTGAAGTCAAAATAATGTAAAGAAGAGGCACAGTTATCTTACACATATAAGAATCACGTTACAAATATAATTATAAAGGGTCTGAAAAGGTATCATTAAGGTCGTGTGATCCGAACACATTTTCTCTTAATTAAAACAGGCAAAAGGATTTCAGTACACGACTGTTTATTTTTAAAATGTTACAGATTTTGTTACATTCAGTTGTATAAAGGATGGCGGCGATGCAGCAAAATGAAACACAGTATTTTCAATATGGGTGCGCACTGTACGTTCGACGGACGACATTCGACTGCCCAGAGCCGACCACCCTCCAAATTCACTTTATTTTTAATATTCAAAAACTACCAACTATATTTACATCTACCTTGGTATAAGTTAGTAGTTTACAGATAACAAATAGTAGTTATTGAAATGATGTAGAATATAACATAATAAACATTAATACAAAGAAAATAAACAAAATACAGTGCTACAATTTAGTTTAGTTAAATTACAAAATATATTGTGAAGGCTTTTAAATTCCATCGTCAACACCGCCCCCTAGTGCTGACTCCTCAGCACTCCATACCTATACATCAAGCAATGCTACTCTAGTAACTGGACGCTTTAACACGCCCGTGCGCGTTCGCACATCAACGCAACGCACTCTGCCGACCTCGCCGGCATGGGCCGCACTCACTACGCCATGCCTCCACGACCCGCGTTCTAATTGAGGATCGACTATCAATACATAATCACCTACTGATAATGCTTTTGCCTCGCTATTCCATTTTTGCCTAGGTAATAATGTTGGGTGATATTCTTTTAACCAACGACTCCAAAACATATCTGTAAGCCTCTGTGCCACTCGCCAACGCTTGCCTAAATTACAAAGGTCACCGTTATCGTACTTACCGTAAGGAGTTCCACTTGACGATGTACCTATTAGAAAATGGTTAGGAGTTAAAGCTTCTGGGTAATTAGGATCTGTGGAAACATAAGTTATGGGTCGGCTATTGATTAAAGCTTCCACTTCGCACATCAGAGTAGACAAAGTGTCGAAATGTGGTGCTCGTTCCTTAAGTACAACCTTCAATGCCGTTTTGACAGAGCGAACCAATCGCTCCCAGGCGCCGCCCATTTCTGGAGCACCTGGAGGAATAAAACGCCATTCTATACCTCTTACCAAACCGTCGTCCTGAAGACGATCAAAATTCAGCTCCTGGAGACTGCGCTTAAGCTCGGCATCTGCACCTCTAAAGTTCGTTCCATTATCAGAGTACAAGATCTCAGGGGTACCTCTACGTGCAATCATCCGCCGTAGGGCCATTATGGTTGCATCGGTTGACAAGCTATCGGATAATTCTATGTGCACAGCTCTGATAGTTAGACAAGTAAATAAGACACAAGCAGTAGCTTAACTCGTTTTCTACCTGAGGTGATCTCCATCGGTCCGAAAAAGTCAACGCCCGCTGAGGAAAATGGACGCCTGTGGTGCTGGAGACGTACCTGTGGCAGGTCTGCCATGCGCTGCGCATGTGGCGCTGCTCGTCTGTGCCGGCAGAACAGACGACGTGCCGCGACTCCGCGGACTGTGGGGCGTAGCCTTATTACCCAATACTTCTGGCGGATTTCGTTAACCACCATCTCGTTCGCCCCATGCAGGGCTCGTCGATGATAATCCTCGACGATCAGTTGGGTAATCTTGTGACGACCATCAACTATGACTGGTCTACATGCGTTGTAACTTACCCCGTCTGCCTTGTCAACTCGACCTCCTACACGTAAAATGTGCCGTTCATCCAAATACGGAGTTAATTTAAGTAAGCGACTATTCTTAGTGTTGGCGCCGTTTTTGCTACGCCCTAATAGATGGCGCTGTGGCGAGACCGTATTTGTCTAAACACGATGTTGAAGTACCTTGTCTCGCCACATATACTTAACAGCCGGTCACGGACCTGGTGGTGTT